CCTAATCGCATTTTCCATCTNAACGGTCCATTTAGAAACGTTGTTCTCTCACCGTTGAGTCAACTGTTGAATATAGAAACGTACGGATAGTGAGAGCAGCCGCCATGAAATACAAGTGGCAGGTATCTATGACCTCCCATTGTTAGTAATAGGAATCATTTTTGAATAATTTTTAATGAATAATTACGTGTTAAACAGTATTTCACAGGTTCTGTCATTTTTGTTTTAGTCTACTGAAAAAAGATCAAAGTGAAAAAAGTCATCCCAAAAAATTCCCCAAATTTTCCCAATCTCCAATCTAGAAACGCTGGACAACATTGCAAAAAACTGCCTTTGGTTTCCAACGTTACTTCCTATCTTCTGCCCGATCTTGCCACGTAACGTCATGAAATAGCTAGGGGAGTATATAGGCCTACTTTTCGTTTCAGATGGATAGATCTGTAAGATCGATCAGTCTTTCTTGCGTGATATAGATCGCTTCTGTCACGTGTTTTAGTTGTTAGAAAGTATACAAGTAGGATCAAATCGTACTTACACTGCGAATAAATTTGCTCACAAAATAGCAAAATGGGAGGAGAGCGCCATGCATTCTTGCCGTACAATCTCATAAAATTGTCTCTATACTTATTTTTTTATCTCAGTCTATCGGATATTTTAATAATGATGATTACTTACCATTTATCAGTTTTAAATAAGGTACATTTCGTCGTCGAGAGTTAAATATATTTCTTTGCCGTCAACTCTAATCTTGGCTTTAACCGTGGTGATCGCCATATTTAATCTTTTTTATCCGATCCAAACGACCCTACCTCCGTTCAGATTAGTTTGATCACGATCCAGTTGATCCTAAATAGCGTTTATTTACGCGGACAGAGATTGATCAGATCGCTATAGTTCGTTTGTATACACGATTTGAACGATCAGAATAATCTTAGACCAGTTTGATTAATTCTGATATCAATCTATCTATCAAGTTCGAAAGGGTTTTTTCATCTCTATTTGTCGAATCCCAGGCTATTTTTAACATCTTAAACTCGTCAGGAAAAATAGTTAATATCTCAGTTATGATCATTTTTTCGTCGATTTCCTATTTCAACTGACAGATATTTGTCAATAAATCGCTGCTTCTCAAAGGCAAAATTATAAAAGCCTTGTAAGAGATTATGTCTCTGTTGATGAGTATATTTCTCAAATATATTGCATAGCGAATCAAACAAGCGAATAAAATTGTAAGGTTTCAAAGGTACGAGAAGGCAAAGCTTATCTATCGTTGATATTACGTATTTTTGCACTTTAGCATTTTTCTTTATCATTCTTAAAGGTCATTGTCGCAGGTCCAATGANTCGCATTTTCCATCTATCTCGTTCCAACGTCCCAACCGGATCCCATCCATCAATCCTTTTGAAGGAGATTTTTCCATATTCCCTCCTCCATACACTATAGTGATATGTGTCTTTGCAAAGAAACAAATAAATTTATTTTTTATACGTTAATGACAGTTTAAAGATTCAACCAAAGGGAGAAAGGAGTCAACTTTTCATCAAGATAAAATTTAGGAGCGAACTCAAATGTAGGTTGGAAAGATCGATAGTAATTCGGGGCGAAAGGGACTTATCTATCGTTGATATTACGTATTTTTGCACTTTAGCATTTTTCTTTATCATTCTTAAAGGTCATTGTCGCAGGTCCAATGATCTTTAAGAATGATAAAGAAAAATGAACCTTCCATTCAGAAATAAGATTATCTGAAATCCATGAACCTTCCTTCAGAAATAAGATTATCTGAAATTTCCATATTGTAAAAATCTCCATATCTCTTAGTTTTTGAATACTTGCTAGATCGTCTTTGGTAGCCATTTTGTTCTGTATCCATACCTTCTAATAATTGTATCAGAGATCGTAATTCTAAATTTTCATTAAATTAACAATTACAATTTTCAATTTCTACTTACGGACATCCTTTTATGTTAATGTTTTGGTTTTTACTGTCGTATCCTGGCCATGATCTGTTAAGGTTTGAAAGCTTTACAAGACAGCAGTTTATCTTTTAAGTTTTTTATCTAACCGTCTATATTACGTAACAACCTCACGTACATGTTGCCAAAAGGCTTAAACACAAAAGTTTATAATTATATTCTCTTTCTTTTAACAGGGAGAAGGAAGTATTCATAAGAATGCCGATTGTTGCAAAATTTGAAGCATCAGAATACCTCCGTTACAAAAGTTGCAAGCGTCTATGCGTACGTCGGAGTACTAACTCTTTGGAGCTTCTATAGGGGAGATCGGGGCAAGATCGGCATGTTAAGCTTTACTTAAATTTTGTGTAATAAATACTGCTGTAAACTGAAAAAAAAGCTTTGCATATTGTCTATTGGAATGTTACCTTACTATAGAACTGGTTAAAATCAGTTTGGAAATAAAAATAATTAAAATAATTACAACTTTACAAGAAGAGAGAAATTGACGAAGTTGCCCCGGGTATAGGGGCAAGATCGGCAACTTCTCTCTTTTTGTAAAGTTGTAATTATTTTAATTATTTTTATTAAAGTTGCCCCTGGTATAGGGGCAACAGTAATGGGGCAAGATAGGCACGTATATAAAATTATGTTATTAACAATGTATAAGTTGGAATTCACTATTAAAACAAAGAAATACAAATCCAACACCCATTTAATATTATTACAACGAAATGCAAGTTCAAAGACATATATACATGAATAACAAATGCAAACATGTTTTCATTTATCATCTGTTTGATTTTTATCCTTTGCTTCTAATGTGGCTTTATGTTGCCGATCTTACCCCGCTAGTCATGATTTCGAAACATTAAGTACAACCCTGAGAACAGAATGCCAAGCCACGATCTGGCCACGTGAATAAGTTGAAGTTACATCCTTCTAACAGGAAAAGTAACTTTCGTTATCATGGAATTATAACAAAACCTGCCAATTCAATATAAATGGAAAAAAAATATTATATGGAATTGAACGAAAATGAAAATTTGCTTGATAATTCAACTACGCTTGTTGGAGAACAATAAAAACACTACACTCAACAAGCCACCAATAAAACTCAACCGCCTAACCTATAACCAAAGTCTCCTTTTAATTTGTTTTTTAAAAAAAGCGCTTGACAAACTTGCCCCGCATGCCGAAGTTGCCCCGGTCTCCCCTAAACGTTGCGAATCACCAGATTAGAGACCGATAATAGCCTGTGATTTACTGCCCTATGCTAAAATTATATAATCGAAAGTTTTATTTTTATTGTTTATATATAATTTATAGAAAGCGAAAAAACTTTACAATTTAATTACAACTTAATTAACAAAATTAAATGAAACATTTAATATAACCATTTAAAAATAAAGTTATTGCAAGGTTATTTTTACTCGACTTAAAAAGTCAAGTAAAACAAAATCACTTTTACTCCTCATAAATTTAAAGTTGCAAATTATGCAATCCTAAATGTATTTGTTTGAATCTACAAAATTGTTTTTGACTAATTAAATAGTGCTTTTTGACTTTGTCATTGGAACTTTTACATTACTTCTGCTCATTAAAACGTTACATGAGTGACCTTGAAAATGATGTTCAAGGTTAACAAAAAAGATTCCATCCCATTCTTCGTACGTAACTTCCTATGTAATTACATTAACAAAATCAATATATCTTCAATACAGTACTTTAGAAATGAAAGAGTGAATGGTCAGCCCCGTGGAAAGACAGCACGGAGCCCCGGTAAAACCTCAGGGCCCCTCGGCCCTACCTATAATCCTAATCGCATTTTCCATCTATCTCGTTCCAACGTCCCAACCGGATCCCATCCATCAATCCTTTTGAAGGAGATTTTTCCATATTCCCTCCTCCATACACTATAGTGATATGTGTCTTTGCAAAGAAACAAATAAATTTATTTTTTATACGTTAATGACAGTTTAAAGATTCAACCAAAGGGAGAAAGGAGTCAACTTTTCATCAAGATAAAATTTAGGAGCGAACTCAAATGTAGGTTGGAAAGATCGATAGTAATTCGGGGCGAAAGGGAAGGATTTTGTTTTTTGTTTTTTTTTAAATCAATGAGAAGAGACATCACGCTCACATCCACGAAAGAGTTAAAGAGAGTTGGGTTTATTGGCTCTCGTCAAAAAATCGACTGATGTCTTTCTGAAATGATTATTTTTGATTATTCGCATAGCCAGAAATAAACTCAATATTTATATCTTTCAACACATTACAGAAGTCACCATACATTATCACTCTCTTCAAAAAATTGTGTCAATGCAATTGGTATAGAGATTCCATTTGCATAAGCTCATACAGGAAATTTGTGTTGCTAAAATGTTAATACAGAAATTAATGATATTTTAAAAATAATCATGAGTAGTTTTAAAATTGTAAGGTCTTGTGTAAGACGTCGTTACTTTATAACTTTTCATAATTCTATTGCATTCATTATCTTTCATTCGATAATAACTTTTGGAATTGTTTTCTCCCTACACAATTTTCGTACTATGAATACTTTTATAAAATTAAAAATTTTGAATTCTACAAATAGTCTATCATTCCTCCAGAAAGTATATATTTTCTGAAGAAAGGATAGAATAAATGAAATTTAAATAAGTGTAATTCTATAATTATATATATATAAAGTACTTTGAAGATTCGTGAGTACTCTTGATTTATTTATTCATTCATTTCCATGAACTCTTTTTCTCGTCATAATATTTGAAATTATCTGAAGCTCAAGTTCGTTTTCAATATTTTCGTTGTATTACATTTAATTTCTTTCAATTTTCTGTGTATAAAATTATTTCAAACAAGTACTTCAATTCGACCTTGATGTACGCTACAATGAAAGTAAACAAGTAAATTATGGATATAATTTAAAATTACGACATATTTTAGGTAACAATATTTATTTGTATATTTAAATTCTACAGACGTACGTTATCTTCAACTACATTTTATTCTTAAGTAAATAAATACATTTAAAACACGTGTAACACCCCATAAACAAAAAAAAAAAAAGACGCCTATTGACATATACACCATTTGCGTGCGGCTCTAATAATCTAGTAAAATATATAAATATTTTTAAAGATAAATAAATACTTTCAATGCCGGATTTAATACTTATCAACTAGGTTTTCTCTCGTGAAAATATACAGGAGAAATGTAGGCATAAGGAATGGGATGCTGTGGAACATGTACTCGTAGATACCTAATGGGAATCGATAAAGAGTTAAAAACTTGAGGAGTATCGAATTTAGAAAGCGCATCGTTGATATATTTATCCATATAATAATCTAAAATTTCCACCACGTTAGTGGAAAACATCCAAAAAAACAGGGGACCGAATTGACTCGCGACGGTGGTGGATACAATTTTTCTACTTTCCCTGTCGTTACCGTGAAATTTAACAGTAGATGTAGTGAAATCGACGAAAGGTTGATCGGCCATGATGACTTTCAACTTGTTATCTTCCCTGGTCAGATATATCATGGTACGAGCGTGCACTTCGTGGAACTGTATGGTAGCATTACCTCTACCGTGAATAGTAAAGATGTCGAAGAGGGTTCCGTTTGTTTCTATATCGCACTTAGCTTGTAATCGAGGAAAATACAAAGCCAAACGAATTCTAGATTCCCTAATTTCGCTGGTCAAATCGCGAATTACGAACGAAGATAAAGGAGAGATCCAAATGTTTCGTAAATGAACGTCGAAAGATTCGCCACTTACCGTAGGTTTTACTATCTGATCTTCCAGTTTTAATGGATCTAATATTGGTATTTTGAGTCTAGAATCTCCTTTGGTTAAAATTTGCGAGAGCCGATTTAATTCTTCTTTCAGATAACTACTCAATTCAAAATCCAGTTTGGTAAGTTGTTCTTCAGTTTCTTTTATTTCCGGATCTACTGTTGATTCGGAAGTCGTGTCTTCGTTTCTCGTAGTAACAAAATCATTCGCAGTTTCTGTCGTGGATTGGTTATCGGATAGACTCGAAATTCTTAAGAAATCTGTTGGAAAAACTGTAGATTCGTGCGAATCGGTTTGAAAAGATTCAGAAGTGACCGAAGACTCAACTGAAAAGAAGAATAAAAATGGATGAATTAATTGAATAAATCATTAAGAAAAAGGTTTTTTCAATATTCTATTTGAAACTTTGTAAAGTATTTCAAATGTTTATAGGAATTTTTAGCTTAAATCCCAGTTACTCCATTTTTACATTAGCATCAGAGGCAAAACACTTCTATTAAACATTTTCAATTTTTTAATGTTTATTGTCAGATTTATCCCTATAAAAGTACGTGAAATATTATTATTTATTTAAGTTAAATACATCGAAAATAGTACATATTTCAAGAATACAATGCGGTTCAAACTGACGAAAAGTAAATGACAATTACAATGCTATAGAAAATTTAAAAGTTAAAGAACAATTATCAGGAAATAATTAGTGTATTTTAGAAAACAGTCGTGTAATTTTTTAAATGAAAATTCGTGTGGCACGATGTACAATAGGACAAAATGTCACTAGAAGTCAACAGAAACGAAGTGAAACCGTACATCGAATCAAATTTACATGCTGAATGTGAACGTTTTCGAAAGAAGGCAATTAATAGAGTGTAACTTACCATTTTGCATGATTAAACACGGTAAAATAGCAAAAACCATCGACGATAACGTCTTCATTTTCTATTTGAAAAGATTCAATTATTTATAAAATAACAAAATTAATTCCAATAAAAATAATTTAATTTAACATTAAATTATTACCAAAATTTTGAAATATATCATTTTTGAATTTATAAATTTTCCAATATAAAATATGCTCATATAAAATACAAAACGCGCATAAAATTAGCTATTAAATATAACTACTTATTTCAAAAACACTTTGTTTACAATGTTTTTTTTTTTTTAAATAAAAATATACAATACAGAATAGGTTATATACTATATTAGTGTATTACAATACATCCACAGTACTATAATTAGTATAGTATTATATGTATATCTATATTTCTTATCTATAATAACACATGTGTAAGAAAAATTATCATGCTTACATTCATTCAAATTGCTAATTATCATTGAAGAAAGTCGATTAGTTGTAGATAAACAATTAGTGAAACGAACGAGTAGACTTACCGAGCAGAAAGATAACCTCTTCATCCGCATTCACCTTTGTTTATCACTGAGCGAAGCGGGTGTAGAACGAGAATTACCGGTTGCCTCGATTTCAAAAGTTTACCACCTGACCACGAACTGTCACTGCTCCATATCTCATGTCGAGCAAATAACCATGCTTACTTTGAGAGTCGACGACTACCTGCATCCGTAGCCAGTCAATGAACTCATCAAACGCCACGTTAAGGGTCACGGTCATTTTAGTTCGCTTTTCTGACGCTAACCGGATATACCTTTCTTTATTTTTAAACAAGTGACTGGTAGACACCGTTAAAATAACGTTGTGACATTCTTAAAAATACATTTTAAAAATAAAATGTTGCGTATTCATCCGAATATTTGCATCTAATTTTAAAAAATCTGATTATTTACTCAATTTATTAATTTTATCATTAAAAAAAACAGACATTTTTACATTAAATTAAGGTCACTTTCTAAACAATTTCCCAGTACTTTTGCTAAAAATGCGAAAAGAGTTAATTATGTATTAAAAATTCCAAAAAAATATATATCGATATAAGTGGATTTTTTTAAATATATTTTTGGATGTACATTAATAATGTAAAGTAATTATTTGCATCTTTAAAAAGTAACTCAATTCTCTGAAGTAAGTTTAGTGTCTTGCCTTTTTTTTTCATCTCCTAATAAACTTGTCGTTCAAGGCCGGATTTAATGTTAACGTTGACTATGTATTCTCGTCTTCGTACAATGTTTAGATTCTACGCATCTTTAAACAATGATAATAATTTCGAAATCATCAAAAAATATAAAAATTTAAATTTTTATAAAACGTAATAAGCTGAATAAACAGTTACATCGTTGACAACCGCTTGACAGAAACGAAGGACAAGCGAAGGGTAACATAACGGCCTTTTGTTATATTTTACGAAAATTTAATTATGGAATTTACGGGGCTAGTCATTTTACAATTTTTTTTATTTTTCTTTTGGTAGATTTTATAAAAATTTTATTTAAATAAAACAAACTTTTATACAAAGAAAAATTAAGTCTAAAAATTGAACCATAAACTTAATTTTGGAGTTTTCTGTATTAATTTTGGGAAAATTTAAACTGTTAGTAAATTTTATTTTACTTTTTTGTTTTGAATGTTATTCTTTTACTTGAAAATTTTAGTAAAATTGCAGAATATAGGCTAGGAGGAAGAAAAACAAAGAAGCAAAGAAAAGTAAATGTAATAAGAAGATAAAGAAATGTAATAAATTCTGATAAAGATCAGATGATTAAAAATTTACTATTAGAAGATATAAGAGAAAGATATTCCTGTGTCTGTTTTATAACCCAATAAAACGTGTTTTATTAATATTACTACACATTTTCTTTATATATTAATTTCAATTTTACATTTCAAGTTTTCCATATCTTCAACTTCTTTTTCTTCTATTCCTCTTCGTCCTCCTGTTAAGTGATCAACGCCTACAACAAACTAACAAAATTATAATTGCAATTGATGATTTTGAATATGCATATGTAGATTGTTTATTAATTTAATAACAGTGATTTACTATTTTTATAAGAAAACTTTATGTAAACTGATTACAACGGTTAGTCATGTGTAGGAAAAGACAATTGACAATTGACTCTCAACTCTTTGTTGGTGAATACAACCTTAATTGTAAAGCCTTATTCTATTCGTGGCATTAGATTTGTGATAGATAATACTCCGTTATATGATATTGTATGAAATTACATTATCATTTTTTAAAACTTTATATTTTTAACTATTATAAAATGGAAAAAGCTTAATTTTCAGGGTAGGGATGAATTTTATAAAAATTGTAAATGCTAATAACGAGTAAAATCGTCATTAAGTCCGACCCTACTGGAGATACATACGACCTCCATTATCTTCCCAACCTCTCGACCTTGCCAAAATTTTATAGCATCAATCCCCCTAATAAACGAACCTACCTGCAAAATTTTAGAAATTTTCGACAAAAAGCACAAGAGTTATTAAGCATCAAACAGGGTGAACAAAATCGTTCTCTCCCACACATACTAACATCCATACATACATACAGAAATAAAACCCGAAGTTTTTTGTATTTCTCGACGTTTCAAGGTGTCCTAAGTCCAAAAATGTAAAAATCTCGTCGGGGGTAATTTTTGACCGATCGCCATACTTTCCCTCTGTTATATATAACAGCCGGGGAAAATAAAAATGGTATTCTTATTTAAATGGTAAGTCAGATTTCACACCAAACATTGTCTGATTTACAAAGTTAAAGGAGAAGAAGAAAGAAGTTGTCACATAAGATCTGTTCGATTGGTTGGGATTGTGCACATTTTTATGTAAATTTAAAAACATTCTTTAGACTTTTTTTATTGTAAAAACTGGAGTAATAACGTCAAATTGGTGTAAAAATGTGCAATATCCTAACCAATCAAACAGACCCTTAGTTTTTATCCTTTGTAATAATGAAATGACAATTCGTTTCAGATGGAATTTAATGGTTTAGTATTTCTTGTATAACTTATGTAAATACGAGAGCAGTTATGCAAACTGATTATTTACCTGTTGGAAAAAGGCTCTTTTTATATTAATAGTAATTATAAACTTCTAATAGATTACTTCTATAAGATATAACCAATTCATCTCAAAAAGCAAATTTAATACAACGTTTAAGTTTTGAGTGTGGCAAAGGTAAATTTTTGTTTATATTATTTTTTATAAACATGCTACAGACTAGAGTGATAAAGCAACAAAGTTGTGTAAAAACATAAACTCTTCAACTCTGAGTATCTTGATAATTCAGCCATGAAAGTAGCAACAATAAGGATCCTTTTAGATTCTTGTTGAACTTTTTCCATCCTGTGGGCAGAGAGCCTTTTCCATACTCATTATGCGTTTGGCCAGGCTCACAAAGAGGGTGGCCGGATAGTAAAACATTGTGGTCCGATACATTCGGAGAGCCACAATGGAGAGCCAGTCCAAAATCTAAAGTTTCCTCCTGGAATTAGATCCCGGGTCTCCCAGATCGACCGCCGGTCCCTTGCTTAAACAAGTTTGAAATACGTTTTTAAATGTTCCATCCGTCCTGAGAGCATAAAGAGTATTTTTTTAATGCTCATTGTGGATTCGGCAAACCCACAGTCGGATCAAACCACCATAAAAGTTTCAGACGATGCAATATAGATTCGCACTCGGATCATCCGAAACCGAATGCCTTTATCATTTATTTAATGTCGTTCGGAATATCTTAGGAGAAAAGACACGCATTATTAATTAATTAATATATAGAGTAGAAATATATTGAAGCTTTACAATTGAGTTTTAAGGAGAAGATTGTTTTACATTTCTTGTTATTCTTATCTCTATGAGAAGTTTCGAAATACATGTTCATTATTTCGCTCCCGGAAAAGATCTGTCAGAAGCATCAAAAAATTCCTGTTTGTGCAAACGAGATTTTCACTGTTACAAAAGAAAAATATCTTATCCGGAAATATATTTTTAAACTAGATCCTGTTATGAAGATTGATATACGATTTCGAACAATTGTTCCAATTATGAAATAATGTTTTTGATTTTGAAGATTGTGTTGCTAACATAGATTATTGAGCAAAGAATGATGTTTATATTTTATATCATCCGTGCAATAGAGAAAATTGACCATATACAATTTTTGTCGCTTTATATAATAACATTTAAATTATATATTTTCAAGTATTATAATCATACTACTAAAGACGGCCAGAGGCCGAGTGGCTAAGGTGTCGACTACCGTTCTGAAGGAACCGGAAACAAATCCGAATGAATCGGAAAAATTTCAGAAATTATTTTTCGGGGGTTCATACGTCTTGGAGATAGATGTTGATCTGTTCTTCACCACCCGGCTGTCCCATTGTGAGCCTGGTCGAACTCATAATGGGCTGGCTAAAAGAGGTCTTCTTAGTGCCCTCGGGGCTGAAAGAGTTAAAAAAAAGCCCGACAGGCTCATTGTGGGCCTGGCTGATGGCGTGATTAAAAGCCCCCTCTTGCTGTTTACGGGAAGAAGTGAAAAAAAGGAAAACATTTAGTCCTTTCTCTTTAAAATGAATTAAATTCTGATAGTTTGAACTAACTTGTAAGTATAACAATTTAAAAAGAATATAAGAATATTAAATTTCAATCAAATTATTCAATTATCTATTTACTGAAATTACAACAGAAATTTAGAATCCAAAAGAAAGAAATGTTTTATATAATTAGACTAAGTAACAAACTCATTTTAAAAAGTTTATATTTCATTTTTTTCGGATTATGTAGACGTTTGGCAATTATTTTGCTAATATGTTTGTAACTATTTACTAGATATAATTATTCTTAGTTCTGAATTACAATAAAACTTCGATTTAACAAACGTCTGAGGTGTCTGTTAAAGCCGAAAGTCCGTTATAAAATGAAGTAAATTTTCCCAAAGTCCGTGTTAAAAAATTGACAAATTAGTTAGTTTATTTGTTTTTACTTATTTGGATAACTTATTGTTTGTGTAATTAAAATTAAATAT